AACTATGTCGGAGCTTCGACTCATCCGAATGAGATTGGTGAGTTCATCGTAGAAAGCGTCCTTTTGGGTATCAGGACTGCAATTGGTCGGTGCACATGCTGAAACTGTTAGGACGGAGCCTAAGCAACCCGTCCGATCGCGCAAGCCTCCGAGTCAGGCCAACGCACGCTCCCAACGCTCCAGACAGGTTGAACCTGATTGGATGTTCACCGAACGTGTCAGCCAGTGTCTTGTCCAACCGATCAATTGATATGTCAAGGACACAATCTGATTGGTGCATCTTTGCGCCGTTCTCGAATGCAGGATTAGTCTATATGGTTTGCGTATCGATAACTTAGCAAGGAATACACGCTGACTGTGTCTCAACCTGTGTTCTCTCTCCGCGTTGTCGTTAAGCAAGAGTCGCGCGTGTCATTCGTGCCAAACACAACAGATACAAGGTCGACCACTTGTTCCAGTGAGGGACCGTGGTTACCTAAAGCTCTGCGTCTTACCTCAGCATCGCTCCTCCGGTTACCCCACCAGATTTGTGCAATACTGAGTAAACAGTGACGTTCAAAGATCGACAATTTATTTTATCCTGTTTTTTAATGATCAAGTTTCTGTGCCGTATAGTAGAATTGGTCGAACTGTTGCAGCACACACTCGACTCTACACAGACAGCCGAATGTCGTGACAGCTCCACATATTTCACAATATGAAAAATGCCAACCGAACTGACACTTGATTCATGATGCGTCCACCGGTTGAGAAGTAGCTGCCGAAACAGCAAAACTTATCCACTTGCTCTATTACTTCCCGAGTTAGACTGCACCATCTCAATCTTGTAACATTTCACACTTTGAAGGTGCAAACGCATACCAAGCATGGCATTCAAGCTATACATAAAAGTTTGCAACTTACAAGCTTCACTTCGCAGTACAATGTCTTTCGTATACTCCAGATCACACAGTCTGTCACCTGGGAGGAAATCAATACACTATCCTCGCACGAGGATAGAGCTATTTTGATAATCAAATTTATGACAATGTTACATAGAAACGGAGAGAGAGGGCAACCCTGTCAAACACTAATCTCTGTAGTGAACTTGGATAAAAAAGTGTCGTAATCTGGAGTTCGGCTTCCCTTGTTAGTATACAGAGATCACAAAATTGAAATAAGCTTTTATTCAAAGAGAGAGAGAGGTCGCGCCAGAGTTTAAAGCGGCTGACTGATTCAAAAGCCACTTTCAGACCGAGGAGGACAAAAATAGTGGACCTGCGAAAATAATTTCGGTGCTTCAGTATTTGATGAAGAGGAAAACTTTAGTCGGTACAACCTCGACCAGGTCTAACGCGTGCACTCTTTATGTGCGGCAGAGAATCGACGGAGTAGGATGCCAGCGAGACGTTTAGAGACAATGTTGATTAAACCTATTCCTCAGTGGTTTCAACAAGATGATCTATCGCCTTTCTTGTAAGTCGGTATGATCACCGATTCATACCATTCAGCTGGAACCTCTTCCCTTTCCCATATTGAACCCAGGAGTTTTGTCAACTCCATGACTAACGCTGAGCCTTCATCTTTAAACGCTGATGCGAACAGCCCATCTGGGTCAGAAGCCTTATGCCTTTTGAGATACCTAATTCCCGAGAAACCTCCATTTCAGATGAAGGACCGGCATCAACTGGGGTGACAGGTCATATATCGATGAGGGCCAGTTGAGCTGAGCCTCGAAATGTTCAGCCCATTGGTCAACGCGGCCTTGTTGATGGTGAATCAGTGGGCTATTGGATTCCTTTATTGCATCACTGACGCCTATTTTCCTGAGTCCTATATTCCTAATTAGACTAAAAGTTTACGACTATTAGCAATAGCCGCAGCTTTCTCCATCTCTTCGCACTTTCCTACCCACCGCTTCTCGAGGTCAATCCTCAGATTATTGATGATCTGGAGTTTGAGGGATTTGCGCGCTAGGTCATCCGTAGGGGAGAGGGAGTTCTGCGAGCGTTCAGCAAGGCAGCCGAGATCGACGAGTTTCATCTTTGGTGCTTTGATCGTGCCCCAGAGTCCGCGGTTATTTCTTTCGACATTCGCATAGCTTCCTTGATGTGTTTTTGCTGTTCATTGAGTCCTTTGGCTGGTGATTGAACTGAGGTTCTTTTATTTATATTATATTCAATAAATAAACTTCTTATTTTGCCATTCATTTTGACATTCATATATTACAATCCCTATTCGGTCGACTTATTCAGTGAATAAGGTAGGTAGAATTCATTTTAAATATATTCATTTAGGACTAATCTCAGGCGTCCTGGTACATCTGAAAATAGCAAGATATTACCGGTTTAATCGTCTACAAATAGGTCATGAATAGATGCTGTTGTAGTGTTGTGAGGTCCTACTGACATTTGTGAGTAGAATGGTTGAATTTCGTAAAAACTGTGATTGGCGGTTTCGCACAACGGTCAAAATGTAACTAAGTTCCGTTCCATTCAGTATCAGTTATGTTTGTGGGAATTTTGATTACATGCTGCAAATCACATCTCGTTCTTTATATGCCAATTTATCCATACCCCTAGTGTTGTTCGTATTAAACAATTCTCATCGAGCCAGTGCTGTTCTTCTGGAAGTACTACAGTAGGAGTATATAGTTTCAGTGATATTCAATGTATGAAACTCCAAATACATTCTCAGAAAAGTATAGTTCTCAAAAAGTGCCAATAAATGCTAACCCTGAATCTGTCATACAATTCAGCAACTCTCATGAAATTTGCTGTATATTTCTCTAACTTTCTTGTCGCTATTTCACTGGTAGCCTATTCGATAACATGTTTTATTGCTTCACGGAAACGTTACCGCATTTGGCTGTTTGATATTTGAAAGGAAATTCTTTTTTGTAGATGTAGATTTAAAAGGATAAACCAGTGGTGCCTAAATCCGCTTCACGTGATTCGAATGTCAGCTGATCTTTCTCGGTCGGTCGCGTGTCAGGTTCAATTTCGATCGATCGAAAGAATTGAACAGCATCCACCACCAGTAAACACACCCACGTCTGTTCAACCTCGTGATCAGCCAACCCCCCCCCC